GAATAATGCACGACTAAATATCACACGACTAAATATCAGACTATATCACTCATAATGCATGAAAATATGATGAATGTAACTCGCGAGAAAACAGAGACCCTTGTGGGTTAAGTCGCTTCGCGCGACATCCATTTTTTTTTTTTAACAAGAAGCATATAATGAAAAAACATAATCTTGTAAAAGTTCCCAACAACATAAAACCGAACATCGAATAGAAGAAAATATGTCATACATCAGGGGTTATTTTGAGCATCAAACCATAATTGCAACCTAGACTGGTACTGATTCTCCCAATTCTCCTCCGAAGCAGTTCGGTGTCTGAACCACATACTATGAATAGGGTAATGGACAATCCGGAGTCAAATCTAACCGAATGTAGTGTGCGTAGCTACCAAGATGACATATGCAAATCTCACGGCGTGGCCCTGTGCTCGTTGATGCTGCAGCGAGCGGCAATACTGTGCAGCTGAACTGGTTGGACATACGACCATCGCGACCAGAGCCTAAAAGAACGACAACCACATTAAATAGGGTTGCAACAGGGTAGAGGTCGGTTGGAGTGTCCATCCAGTGATTCGTGCCACAAGCGCCCCCGTCCCACCTTATAAAATTAAAATATTAGCATTTGAATAATAATAATTATAATATAAAAGAAAAATAAAATAAAATATAAATATTAAAAAAATAATAATAATAAAAATAAAGCACCCCCGTCCCACCTTATCCGAGCGAGTGTCGTGTTGATATCCCTGTAATAGATGTACTCGTACAAGGCACGGTGGCTGTAAATCTCATTGGCAACGTTCTCTCGTACGAGATGCCACATCTCCTGGTCCCCGTAAATGTAACTCGCAATGACCCGCCATCTGCAGTTCCCATCTGCTTTCACATTCAAGTAGTTTTAACAGCATTATAGCTGTTAAACTTAAGTTTTTCGAGTCGTCCTCTTCCAACGTTCGCCTCGATCGCACTTCAAGATCTTCAGCCTTCCGGGTTTTTTTGTGTTTCGAAATAGTAAAAAAGAAACCATTCATAATTGCCGTACTTTTTGCATCCTTAATAGCCTCCACATCACTAATAAACAGCGTAGTTGTATTGAAAGCGGAACGGTAATCAACACCATCTCCTCCAAAATCTTCTAAAGACACCTGCAATGTATTACATATTTAATAATTTTGAAGCATACTTATAATATAAATAATTAATTGAAACATGCAACATACTAATTTTTAATTAACATCAACTTTATAGATAATTAAGTATAATTAATTTGTAACTCCTGACACGATAATATCTAACGTTCAACTTATAGATAATCAAGTATAATTAATTTCTAACTCCTAACATGATAATATCTAACGTCCAATTTATAACATATTAATTTCAAGTCTATAAAATAATAATTTCTAATTCCTAACACAATAACATATAACGTCAAATTTATAAGATGATCAAGTTTAATATATATAACAAATTTATTTCTAACAGCTAACACAATAATATTTAACGTTCAATTTATACATAATAATATCAAATCTATAAT